GGCATTTATTTAAAAGGGGGAAATGCACTTCAGGACATTCTGCAGCCCTTCTGCTTTGCGCGCTCCTCGTTTTGCTTACATCACCTTTATCTGGGGACAGCTATTTTCTTTGAAACACAAACATCTCTCCCAGATACAGAATCTATTTCTTTTTTCCCCCTCACGACTGACCACAGTCAACTCAGTTCACAAATCCGAGCAAAAATTATGTCAGACTTTCTTCCCTTCTTCTGAAAGAAAAAAAGACACAAAGAAGTGCCAACCAAATGCGATGCTGTTTTTATTAATGGTTTGTTAAACCCAGGCAAGTTTATAAAGAAACAAGAAATCAGAACCTATTTGTATGTTCAGGCTGTAGCCCTGCTGCATCGTTAGGTGGTACCCAGCGAGCCCTGGCTCTGCGGGGCAGCTGAGCACTTTGTTGTACAAGGAAAGCCTATGGAAGTGACTCAGCAGCTCCCTGGTAGCAGGACTGCCCACAGCCCTGCAGTGCTGACTCTTCAGCAACTTCACCTTGAGGTGATCAGCTTCTTGTGTCTTCTCCTTGCAAATTCCACTGTTTCCCTTTCTTAAGCAGAGATCCCTCTCTGAGCCCCAGACACATATTGTGCTTGACCATATTCTCACATAACAATACCCCTTTTTTGTCTGAGGTGTCCTAAAAAACAAGAACCAACTCTTTAAGTATTTAACCTGCAGGATCCACAGTTTAACTTCATTGCAGACTGCTGTGCAATGGCAAAATCCACCCTGAATTTCTTCCCAAATGCCCCCACCAGAGGGTTTCAATCACATCTATGCACACTCATCCACGTTTAACCACTTACACCAGTATGTTTCTTAAACACTGACCATTAAGTGCCAAGGAAAGTGCATGCAAACAAAAGTTAGCAAATAAATAAATAGAAGTCTCCACGAATACAAATGCCATCCCATCCCGAACCAACGCTACGTATGATGTGAGGGACAGCCAACACTGCCATACTACACCCATAGCTGCCTTCGCTCAGTGCAGAGATGCTTTCTCTCAAGATGACCGTCTTTGTCAGCCACAGTGAAACTGCAGCCAAGCTTTGCTGTGCACAGTAGGTGGGAAATCATACACAGGAAGGAAATAATTTTTTTAGAAAGGCACCGTTGGTTACGGTAAGCCAAAAAATGCCTCACTAAGAAAGAGCGCTGTATTGACTGCAGTAGTTTCTATCTGGGGGTTTCAGGTTGTTGAGCTGCCCCATGGATGTGAGCCAGAGTAGGAACGTGGCTGCACTGCCCAGGGATTTCTCTCCAGAGAGCCAGGCTCTGCCCTGAGCAGCGGACAGGTTTGATCAGGTGTTGAGCAAAATAAGAAGTTTTTTTAAATGTTAGAATCTTAACATTTTGACAGTGGGAATATTTGGAGAACTTTTTTTGAACTTAATTCCAGCTCCATAAATACCATGACTGGGTGGAGGAGCTTTTGCCCTTCCTACACAAAGCAGTGCTGCCCAGCTGCCTCCGGCTCTCCTTGGCATCCAGCGGCCCTTTCGCCCCGATCTCCCCAGCTGCTACAAATGTGAGCTCTGTTGTTTGTCCAGGCTTGTGGCAGGCAGCCACGCTTCCCACCCACAGCTGCAGCCTTGCCTACAGCCAGTAGTGTCACAGAACCACACAACAGCCTGGGTTGGAAGGGATCTTAAAGTCCCAACCCCCTGCCATGGGCAGTGCCACCCGGCAGCTCAGGCTGCCCAGGGCCCCATTCTACACAGCCTTGAGTGCCTCAGGAATGGGGGCATCCACAGCTTCTCTGGGCAGCTGTGCCACGGCCTCACTGCCCTGTGAGTAAAGAATTACTTCCTAACATCTAACGTCTTTTAGTTTTCCCCTTGTCCTCTCACTATCTGCCCATGCAAGCTGCTCCCCAAGTGCAGGGCTGCAGCACAGTCACTTGGTTCTCTGTGCTGCCAAGGCCACGCTGGCAGGTGACACTGGCAGTTCTCAGGCCCTGGGGTGCACAGGACTGAGACTTCACCACGGCTCAACCAAATGGGCAGGAATTCCCCAGCCCTGGCTCACACAGTGTTGCCTTTTATCTGCTCTCTCGATACGATTAATGTTGGGCTACAGCACGGTGAACTTGCGCCCCACCTGAGGACAGCCTGATCTGTGTGCCTGCAGCAAGGCCTTTTCAACACAGAATTACCACAACACACCATTTTCCCCTCAGGGAAGTTGTGGTTTCGATGAGATGGCAATATGTACTGGAAAGTTTTGACCAGTTCTATTTGAACATAAAACACTGACACAGCAGCTGAAGTATGGGTCTGTGCTGCTGGAGGAAGCTGTATGACTACAGGATGGCAAAATAAGCTCGTTAGCAGTAGACAATACAATATACTCCTAATGACAGTTTGAGGGAGAAGCCCAAACTGCAAGCCACTATTTAGCACAGCATTTTCCCAAAATGATCTGCTTCCAGCTTTCTGCCTAAGTCATTTTTGCCATCTGCACACCTTACCCATCCTATCACAACTGCAGAGACCAATGTGACGAGAGCATCTCCTCACTCCTCTTCTCTGAGAACTCATTTCTCCTCTTCCTTCTCTTCAAGGAATACGACTGCTTAAGGAATAATTCTGATATGACAAAGGACAGCAATTCCCACTTCAGAAATGAGGAAATGAGGCTGAGCTCGTTTAAAGTTTTGAGCTCCAGAAGGCTCTTGGAATCCATTGACGATAGCTTTCTGGTTCAGGTATTGGACAGACCGACCAGAGGTGAAGTGTTGCTGGACCTGCTGCTCACCAACGCTGAGGAGATCATCAAAGGCGTCAAGGTTGGAGGCTGCCTGGGCTCCAGCGACCACGCCCTGGTTGAGTTTGTGATCTCAAGCGATGTGGGCCTGGCAAAGAGCAGGACCAGGACACTGAACTTCAGAAGAGCAGACTTCAAGCTACTCAATGGATTGCTGGCCAAGATCCCCTGGCGCGCTGCCCTCAAAGACAAGGATGTTGAGGAGAGCTGGCGGCTCTTCAAGGATGCCCTCCTGGAAGCACAAGAGGTCTCCATTCCTCTGAATAAGAAAGTGGGCAGGCGAGGTAGGAAACCGGCATGGCTCAGCAAGGACCTGCTGAGAGAACTGAGGGCGAAGAAAGGGGTGTACAAGCTCTGGAAACAAGGCTGTGTCACCTGGGAAGAGTACAGGAATGCCGTCCGGACTTGCAGACGTGGGATCAGGGAAGCCAAGGCGCAGGCAGAACTGAACTTGGCAAGGGACGTGAAAAACAATAAGAAAACCTTCTACAGGTACATTGCCCAGAAGAGACAGGCCAAAACGGGCGTACCTACTTTGGTAAATTTAAAAGGAGAACTGGCTTCAACAGATGAAGAGAAAGCTGAGGTGCTGAATGAGTTCTTCACCTCGGTCTTCACTGGTGGCCAGGATTCTAGTCTTTTTCACATCCCTGAACCCTGCATCCCCAAACCTCTATGTGGGGACCAAGGAGGTAAATCCCTCCCCACTGTAAGGGCAGAGCAAGTCCGAGAGTGCCTCCTTAGACTGAATGAATACAAGTCTATGGGGCCGGATGGCGTGCATCCCAGGGTCCTGAAGGAGCTGGCTGAGGTGGTTGCCGAGCCGCTCTCCATCATATTTGAGAAGTTGTGGCTGTCAGGTGAGGTCCCGAACGACTGGAGGAAGGGTCATGTCACTCCCATATACAAGAAGGGGAGCAGGGAGGACCCGGGGAACTACAGGCCAGTGAGTCTCACCTCCGTGCCTGGGAAGATCATGGAACAGATCCTCCTGGACAACATGCTTGGTCACATAAAGAATGAGCATGTGATCCGAGACAGCCAGCACGGCTTCACCAAAGGAAGGTCATGCCTAACTAATCTTGTGGCCTTCTATGATGGAGTGACAGCATTGGTGGACGAAGGGAAGGCGACCGATGTCATTTACCTGGACCTGAGCAAGGCCTTTGACATGGTCCCCCACCACATCCTCATCTCCAAATTGGAGGGAAGTGGATTTGATGGGTGGACGACCCGATGGATAAGCAATTGGTTGAAAGGCCGCAGACAGAGGGTGGTGGTCAATGGCTCTATGTCCAGGTGGAGGCCGGTAACAAGTGGTGTCCCCCAAGGGTCTGTCTTGGGACCGGTGCTCTTTAACATCTTTATTAATGACATCGATGAGGGAATTGAATGCACCCTCAGCAAGTTTGCTGACGACACCAAGCTGAGTGGTGCGGTTGATACGGTGGAAGGAAGGGATGCCATTCAGAGGGACCTCGACAGGCTGGAGGGCTGGGCTCGGGTGAACCTGATGAGGTTCAACACGGCAAAGTGCAAGGTTTTGCATTTGGGCCTGAAGAACCCCCGGCACCTGTACAGGCTGGGAGGAGTGGTCCTTGAGAGCAGCTCGGCAGAGAAGGACCTGGGGGTCCTGATGGACGAGAGACTGAATATGAGCCAGCAGTGCGCTCTGGCAGCTCGAAAGGCAAATGGGATCCTGGGCTCCATCAGGAGAGGGGTGGCCAGCAGGGACAGGGAGGTGATTGTCCCTCTCTACTCGGCTCTTGTGAGGCCCCATCTGGAGTACTGTGTCCAGGTGGAGCCCTCAGTACAAGAAAGACATTGAGATTTTGGAAAGGGTCCAGAGGAGGGCGACTAAGATGATCAGGGGGCTGGAGCACCTCCCCTATGAGGACAGGCTGAGGGAGTTGGGCTTATTCAGCCTGGAGAAGAGAAGGCTGCGGGGTGACCTCATTGCAGCCTATCAATACCTGAAGGGAACCTACACCCAGGAGGGGAGTAAACTGTTCAGAAGGGCTGATAACAGCAGGACTAGGGGAAATGGTTTTAAGTTGAAGGAGGGAAGATTTAGGTTGGATGTTAGGGGGAAGTTCTTTACTAGGAGAGTGGTTAGGCCCTGGAACGGGCTGCCCAGGGAGGTTGTGGATGCCCCATCCTTGGACGTGTTTAAGGCCAGGTTGGACGGGGTCCTGGGCAACCTGATCTGAATGTGTATGTTTGGTGGCCCTGCCAGGCAGGGGGGTTGGAACTACATGATCCTTGAGGTCCCTTCCAACCCGGGTGAAATAAAGGAATTCGGTTCTTAGAAACCGCATTTGAGGATTGGGATAAGTCATCAGAGGACTCTGGCAGGGCACGAGTCTGAGTGAAGGTGGCGTGACACAGACCAGCACACTGAACCTGGCCGTCCAGTTTTGTAAGATACTGCAGCTGTAAAACACTGCAGCTGCCTCTGCTGCTCTGTGAGATCATTTCTCCGAGTTAATTCACAATTGCCTGTTAGAAAAAATTCCAAGGAACTGCTCCATAAGCTCAGCATCTTCTGTAAGAGGGCAACCCTTCCTACGCATAACACAAGGTGGGATTTTATCTCAGCTCATGTTAGTCAGTTAGAAATTAAGTACCCACTCTGCCTCACCCATCCCACTCACCTCCCTGGCCAGTGCACAACTCCTGTCATCTGACACAGGGAGCATTTCTGGTGTAACAGAGGTTTGTTAATTGTCCAGAACAATGGGCATATTGGCCAGCAACTTCAAATTCTAATATCCAGCTGAAGCCCTTCGCAGTTTTGGCATTTACACTCCAAATAAGCGGACGGTGAGACAAAACCTCCCACTGCTCAGAAAGCCTCTCATCCTAAAGAATTTATAGTACTTTATCAAGTACTCAGAAACCAAGTTTGTCTCTAATCTGGATGATGTGGCACAAAGCTGCCAACCATGGCATATTAGCTTAGTTTGGTGACAGAAGTGTACTATGAAGGTTTTAGCAGCAAGGATGTCACTGCTCCATAAAATCCAGCTGCAGGTTGTTTACATAAAAATAATATACTCAAAATAGCCATGATAATGGCAGCTTAGTTTGCTTGACTTTAAGTGGGGAAGGGTAGTTACTGCATTAGGTTTTGTTCTGAAATTCTGAATGCTGGCTCTCCCTACACACCTATGCTGTAGTCATCTTTTCAGACCAGTATGTTAGCAGACTTCAAGGCATTTCCCAAGCTGACGGACACTGAGTCTCTCTTCAAAGCTCTCCAAAGGAGAAGTATTCCCAGGAGGAACGAGGCTGTGCTCTTCAGCTTGGTGGTAGTCAGCTCTCAATTTCGGAATGCTCCCACTCTGCTTGCTTTGCTAATGAAGTTTTTCAGGAGATCGTGGTCCATTTCTGCAAAGCCTTGTGTTTGTGTTACAACAGTTAAGTGGTTTATGCAAAATCTGAAGCAAAACTCTTCCAAGTCCTAAAAAGAAAGAGAACTAATTTATAATATGAATGACAGCAAAATTATGATCATTCTCCCCTTCCAAATCTATCAGTTAATAAGCAGACACCATACCAATGACCAACCCTTTTTCCATCAGTTTCATCAGATCACAAATGCTAGGATGAAAACTGTAAGCACAAAGTTTCCACAGCGTACATTAGAAACACACCTAAAAATAATCTGTAGCAGCAGATCTTTGCATTTCCCGAGGACAGGACAAAACATTCTGATCCTAACAGATGAAAAGTCAGCCTTCCGTTGATTTTCTATGCTAGTGGTAGATAAACACAGCACTACTATCTTTCACCTGCACGGTTCACACACAGTAACAAAAAAATCAACCAAACAAAACTAATTTCTCTTTCTGAACTACCAGGGCTCTTTCACAGCCCTTCTCAGGACAGCCTTTTACTGAAGCACTGATGTGCTACAGATGGCTCTCAAATCAGTTTTTACCATATTAATGTAGTGCAGCCCTGTCCTACTTCACAGTTCCTTAGACAAAGGTTATCCCATTACTGAAGAAGTCTTTGCTGCACTCCTCAGAAGCAGATCAATCCCTTTCTGAGCTGCAGACGAAGGGAGGAGAGCAGTGATGTACTCCTGAGGTTGGCACGTGCTGCTCTAGAGGCAGGTGAACCAATTCATGGCACGATGACTGTGTTCAAATGTTGCCTGTATTTAAAAATTCCACTATTTGTGCAGAATGTATTACAGAAGGAAGAGGGGAATAGCATACATACAGACATTTAGCCAATCCCTTTTACTGTGCTTCTGCCATTGCAATTCTCTGGTACTTTGGGCTATTTTCCCTACTTCAGGATACACTTACACGAATCTTTAACTACTCCACCTGACACAGCTCAGTGAAAGCCTCCTCTGCTTTTGAGATGGTCAAAAGTGGTGGAAAGCTTCTAAGAGGAAAATCTCCAGAGTGAACGTAATGAAAACTTCCACACTTCAGAGAACCAAACCGTTTGGTCCCTCTTCTCCTGCCCAATTTTCCCTGTTACATCAGGCCTCCACCACCACAGCACACTGAAATCACAATTCCTCTTCTTTGGTCTCAGTTGTTCACTGATTATTAGCCTACACACCTTGGTTAAGACTGATCTCATTACTCTACCAGCAGCTGGTATCCTTATCATCTACTAATCAGATGTTATTCCTGCTTGCTTTCTGAAACTCACTGTAAACATCCAGCCTCCTCTTTGCAACTCTTATACATTATTACATTGCTGTCATACAGCAATATTTCATCCCAGTTTCAGTTCCTTTTTTGCACTTGCTTCCTGTGCCTGGAACTGTCTACCAAATGCATCTTATGTAAGCATCTGCTTTAAACCCCATCCTGCATCTTACAATGGAGCAAAAGCAAAAGGAAAATGAATATAACGAAAAAAAACCAAAAACATGTATCAGCTCCATAGAATTATAGAATCAAAGAATCATAGAATCGCTCAGGTTGAAAAAGACCTCAAAGATCATCAAGTCCAACCACAACCTGACCATCCTACCCTAACTCTAACAACCCTCTGCTAAATCATGTCCCTGAGCACCACATCCGAACGATTTTTAAACACACCCAGGGATGGAGACACAACCACCTCCCTGGGCAGCCTATTCCAGTGCTTAACAACCCTTTTTTCCTGATATCCAACCTAAACCTCCCTTGGTGCAACTTGAGGCCACTTCCCCTCATCCTGTCACCTGTCACCAGTGAGAAGAGACCAGCCCCGCTCTCGCTGTAAGCACCTTTCAGGTATTGGAAGAGAGCAAGGTTTTCGCCTCAGCTTCCTCTTCCCCAGACTAAACAGTCCCAGTTCCTTCAGTTTCTCCTCATAGGCCATGCTCTCCAAGCCCTTCACAAGCCTTGTTGCCCTTCTTTGGACCTGCTCCAGCACCTCGGTGTCCTTTCTGTATTGCCCAAAACTGAACACAGTACTTGAGGTGAGGCCTCACCAGTGCTGATACAAGGGCAGGATTACTTCAGTCCTGCTCACCACACCATTCCTGATACAAGCCAGGATACCATTGGCCTTCTTGGCCACCTGGGCACACAGCTGGCTCGTATTCAGCCAAGGTCTTGGTGTCATCTGCAGTGGAGACACCACTCGAGATTGGCTGCCCACTGGATTTAACTCCACTGACCACAGCTCTTTGGGCCCGGCCTTCCAGTCAGTGTTTCACCCAGCAGAGCGTACGCCCATCCAAACTGTGGGCAGCCAGCTTCTCTGTGAGGATGCTGTGGAGGACAGTGTCAAAGGCTTTACAAATGTCCAGCTAGGCCACACCTAGCCTTCATCCACTAAGCGGGTCGCCTTGTCATACAATGCAATCAGCTTTATCAAACAGGATCCACCATTTGTAAACCCATGCAGACCCGGCTGACCTTCAATTGATCTATGATGGCTCCTCTTTATCCATTCCATAACCTTCCTGGCACCGAGGTGAGACTGATAGCTCTGCAGCTACCAGGATCATCTGAAGATGGGCATCACATCTGATGGGCATCACGTTTGATGGGCATCACGTTTGATGGGCATCACGTTTGCCAGTCTCCGGTTCTCCAGGACATCCCCAGTTAGCCAGGATTGCCAAAGAATGATAAAGAGAGCTTGGCAATCACATCCACCAACTCCTTCAGCACACCAGGGTACAATCCACCCGGCTCCACGGACTTGTGAGCTCCAGCTTTTGGAGCAGGTTCAAAACCAGCTCCTTATGGATTATGCAGGGCCTATTCTGTTCCCCATCCCTATCTACTAGGGTGATACAGGGAGCAACCAGTCTTACCATTAAAGACTGAGGCACAGAAGGCATTACGTACCTCAGCCTCATCCCGATCCTTGGTCACTATGTTCCCCTCTGCATCCAGCACGGGATAGAGATTCTCTCTAGCCTTCCTCTTACTGCTGATGTATTTACAGAAATATTTACTGTTGTCTTTCACATTAGTGGCCAAGTTCAGTTCCAGCTCTTTGGCCTTTCTGGTTTTCTCCCTGCACACACTCCCTACGTACTTGTAATCCTCACAAGTAGCTTGCCCCCTCTTCCAAAGACCATAAATTTTCCTTTTGTTCCTAAGCTCCCTGTTCAGCCAAAGCTGTCTCATTCCCCGTTGGCTCATCTTCTGTGACATGGGGATGATCAGCTCCTGCACTTTTAAAATTACTTTCAAAGTATTCCCAGCCCTACTGGGCTCCCATGTCCTCCAGAACAACCTCCCAAGGGACTCTCTTAACCATGGTCCAAAAGAGACCAAAGTCTGCCCTCTGCAAGTCCAAATGGCAGTTCTGCTGACTCCCCTCTGTGCTTCAACGAGGATCAAAAAAATCTATCATTTCTCAGTCACTTCGCCCCAGCCAGCCTCCAACTTCTACATCCTCCACAAGACCTCCTCTGCTAACAAACAGCAGGTCCAGGATTTCTATCTTACCTTTTGGCTCTTCAGAAAGATCAGTACTCCTGAGCTAACTAGGCTGCTCTGATATATCAAGTCTAAAATAAGAATGTGGATTTCTTGCATAACCAAACCCACCACACTGTTATATCCACAGCACAGCATCAAGAAGCTGAGGAAAGGAAAACATCTTTCCAAGTTATTTGCTTGTTTACAAATAAAGTGCCTGTGGTACCGCTGGTGAGGTGCTGGCACAGGCTGCCCAGAGAGGCTGTGGATACCCTGTCCCTGGAGGTGTTCAAGGCCAGGTTGGATGGGGCCCTGGGCAGCCTGGTCTGGTATTAAATGTGGAGGTTGGTGGCCCTGCATGTGGCAGGGGGTTGGAGCTTCATGATCCTTGAGGTCCCTTCCAACCCACAGCCATTTTGTGATACCATGATTTTTAGTGCTAGCGAAACACTCCAGTGCCAAGGGCAGGCCAGAGGACAGGATATGGAGAAGAGGATAACAACAATTAGGTAATTAGTTAAGCAACACGGTGAAAATGGATTTCTGATATAAGCACGAGGTGAACCAGGGAAGGGCTTTCCAGGTACATTTTCCCACTGCCTGTAAAAGGCAGCAGCAGACAAAAGGAGCGGGTGGAGATCTTCAGGAAGTGAACAGGCAAAATCTGAAGGTGGAGAATTAAATGGCTGTGAGACAAGTGCATGCCATCCTGTGCTACATTACGAGACAGGAAGGAGATTAAGAATCCTGACTCACAGTTGCAAGCCAATGGGCAGGAAGATAACACTAGTAGCTGCAGCTTTTATGGCTTAAGTGAGGGAAAACAAATACCTGGGGAGCCAGAAGGGGCAATTGCAAGTAATCACGACTTGTAAGTTAAATGCAGTAATGCTTATATTAAATAGTTTCTCAGACAAAAATTGTTTGCCTGAAGCGAAATTCTTCCTACCTGAGCTTCATATTTGACAGCAGCAGAAAGAAGAGCGATCGCGTTCTCTTCACAAATGCCTTGTTTGATTGTTTGCTGGCAAAGCTTTTTCAATCTGTTTTCTCTATACAGTGTTGCCAAATCTAGCAGTCCTGCAAAAATTCATACACTTTACCCATCCTGGTGCAAAAAATGTACGCTTCTACTCAAACAAATCAACTGCCCCATTATTTTAGGCTGAATTGAATTAACCAGACTTTTTCTCTTCTTCCTCCACATAAAACATCCTTTTTTCAAGGTCCTCGGATGATACATCAGAAAGGGACACTTTACTAGAATGAAAGTCTTCTGTCACCTTCTTCACTGTGCTACACCCCATTCAGGATATCAATCAGGGACTCACATTAATGTGCAGGGCAACTCCTTTTTCGTTCATGGTAAAAATGCTGCAGTCACTGAGACAGGAAAGCATTACGATGGCATCAGTGCCTTCGTAAGGAAAAAGCAGTTCCTCAAATGAGAAGCAATAGAGTCCTTTCTGGATGTAAACTTTTGATCTTACTGTATCCCTATTACTCACTCTCCAGCACCCCTCCTCCTGACAGCTGCCAAACTGAAGATTTAAGTGCTAACAGAACTCAAATTAGCAGCACTACTTTCCTCACCCCGTCAGACGGCACAAATTCAACTTTTCAGAAACAGAAACCCAGAGTTGTTTCCATTTATGACAAATACCTATGGCATCTTCAGGGGGGAGCCTAATGCTGTCTGTATACAGGTACTCCAGAAAGGCTCGGTAAACAGGATAAGAAAATTCACTCATTTCTATAATTTCATCATCATTATTCAGTATGGAACGAAAATGTTCACACCTGCAAAAGAAGAACAGTTACAGTAAGAGTTACAAGTTACAGTAAGCTTGGAAGATGAGCTGCAGTGAGATGTTGATGAAATAATCAGTGCCTACAGACCAAATACACAACCACAAACACTAGCTGTGTGATTTCTTGGTATAAACACATTAATTTCTTCAGTGCTTTCTATGCAATTCAGAATTGTATTTTCCTTCTGCTGTTAGTGCTTTCTATTCTAAAATTCTTAAGCAGTAACAAGCATGCTTTCATCCCACTGTGGAACAGACCTTGGGATGGGCAGCTGTCCCAGTGGTACCACATAACAGTAAAATGTCAGAAGAGAAAGGTGGTGCACACTGCTCCCTTAAAAATAAATAAATCAAACCCAACTGCTCCTCATCCTCCAGTTCACAAAGTACCCTGGAGTGACTCAGCCCAGGAGTGCCTCTGGCAAAGAGGAAATAAGGCATTCCAAACAGAGATGGTAGGCAATAAGCAGTGTGGGTGCAATGTGATGAAACCAGTACAGAAGAAAATAGTGATGTCAGTAATTGGAAGACTAAGAGGGGTGCAGAAAAGAAAAAAACAAACAAACACATATATACACATATATAAAGAATTAACACAGACATTTAATTAATGCAGTAATATACATGAAATTACAAGCATGGATCAGGATCAGAGATAGGAGAACAAAAGCAGTGACACACAGGATGAGATAATAAAGCATTTTGTGAAAGAAAATTGCAAAAAGAGAAAAATAATTGTAATAAAGATGGGAAAAAAACAGCTGGCAAGAGAGATCTAAAGCAGTGTATCTAGAATATTTTAGCAGAAGTTGTGCCAGCAACTAAAAACTAATTTCTGCATGTTATTAACAATGTGATTACTCTGTAGATCTGCACACCAAATCTCATTTTAAAGTGGTGTTAACTTGCAGAAAGCACTAAAAACAAAAAGGGAAGCCAGCTTAAAATTCAAATGCTCTGATCAGAAGATACAAAACAAGTAGGATAAGGAATGTGACAGATAAGGAAGAAAAAAGATAATCTGAAGAGCATCTATGGAAGATGCTGACACCGCTGAAGGGTCCTGTGGAAGGCAAGAAAGGCAAGAATAAACACAGAAGTCTCAGAACATCCAAATGGAGGAAGCCAAGCAGAAACAGCAGGAGAAACTGATTAACATCTAGGAAGGCAACAGAAAGAAGTTGAGCCTTTTTAATCTGGAAAAGGTAACTAGTAATCAGGGTCAAGGTTGCTTAGGTAGTACAAAGGAGGGTAGATGTCAGATGGAGAAAAGTGTGGAAAAGGTTGGCAGTAAGCAGTGTGTTTGGAATGTCTGAGCAGCAAGGAAGTGAAGAAAATTGCGTAACGGTGAAGGAGAGCTGGTGAAACTCAAGCCTGAGGGAAAAGAGGGTTTGTGCAAAGTAAAGATTTTAAGCAGCAGTGCTCAGCATAATGGACTGCACTATACAACTGACTGTATATTCAACTATACAGTCTGTGCCTCACCTAATTTTGAGAAGAACTTTATGAACATGGATGTATTTTCCATCCACCAGGAACTTCAGGTCTGCAGTTTCAGGGTTGTCAAATTCCTTCTTCAGTGACTGGGCTACTGTTAGATGGTCATCGGGCTCTAGGATAAAAAGGGAAATTGATAGTGAGTGGTAACACACATGATGACGTTTTGTCAGCTACTAGCATTCTTAATAAATGTAATTTATCATTAATAATAGCAAAAACCAAGCAAACATAAAAACACATCCATTATGAACCTCCAGGAAAGCAAATACAGGGAAGCTTTCCTCAGTTGATTCCTGCTCCAAACAACAAGGCCTCAGAAACAAACAGTAAGCCTCACTCCTTTACCTCATCTGTGGAAGACCATAATAAAATTAATGACTAGTCTCACAATTGTAATACTGCATCTGATGGGAAATGCTGCCAGTTGTCAGTGGATAAATCATTCTAAATATAAGGCCTTGCTTATTATAAGATACACAAAAAGTCAATAAAACTCAGAGTATGATTTTCTAAAATATTCCAACAAGGAGACATTATCTCAAAGCAGAAATAAGCCACTACATATAAAACTGACCACTGCAATACAGCTAAGAGTAAATATCAACAGCTACGAGAGCTGCAGATACTCAGAAAGTGCTGTCCCTCGAGTTTTGGTCTTAGCAGCATTTCTTGGATCAGCATATTTCTGTGTGCCACAAATGTACTTACATCCCACTGTGACACTGCAACACTTGCATTGTGAAGTTAACAGCTTTGAAAAGCCACCTATTGTCCACTTCCACATCTCCTGAACTGGCTCCAGTTCTGATCCTGAACTGATTCTCTCTTATCAGGTAGCCTGAAATAACTATTTTCTTTAATAACATTAACAAATTAAAGACCTCAAACATCACTCTTAGTCTAGAGAACATTTCCTTCTTAGGATCAGAACACTTATTATTGACTTATACAGATTTTGTGGATTGGCAATGCTAGGCCTGCAAGGCTTTAAATAAAAACAGCATTCATTTGAGAAAAGGGAAACACCTCCATCACAAGCATTAAAAAAATACAACACACACACTTTGATACTACTATACAAATGAAATTGCTCAGGAATATGTTCAAGAAAATGTACCAATAACTAGTTATTAGCATAATAATGACACGAGTACTTTGGACTACAGATGAAAGGATGAGGGAAAAAAAAACAATGAAATAATAATAAAAAATCCTTCTAAATAACAATACTGTAAAATCACTTTGTTAGTCTTATAATGTACATGGTGGGTCCAGACCTCTGCTATCTGAGCAAGTGCAATGACTTTAAAGACCAATACAAAGCTGAAGTTCCACTGTAATAGTTCAAAAGATTCTGCAGGATTTAGTTATGAATCTTCAAAGTCAAATAACTGAGATGTCCATCCATATGCAACTCCAGATGACTTCTGCAGTCCAAGGTAAGATAAATAAGATGGGGTGAAGTTACAAAATTCTCAGAGAGAAAATAGGTGCTATTGTTTGTAGCTGTCTTTCTGGGATGAGTGAAACATGGAAGAGGCAGTTTTTACTTCTTATCCTCAGTACTCTGCACTAAACTGAAGAGCAATGTGGAAATGTGGGAGGAAATCTAGGAGTACTGCACTGAGAACAAGCTGGAATATGAGACACAGGAAAGAACATTCATTCCCAGGACTTAGAGAGGGCCTATAAGAAAATGGGAAGAGATCCTTTATCAGAGTATAGTGAAAAGACAAAGGGTAATGGTTTTAAACTGAAAGAGTATGTACATTATTAGATATCAGGAAGACATTCTTCAGAGGGAAGTGAGGCCCTGGCACAGCTGTTCAGAGATGCTGTGGGTTCCCCACCCCTGAAGGCACTCAAGGCCATGCAGGATGGGGCCCTGGGCAGCCTGAGCTGTTGGGTGGCACTGCCCATGGCAGGGGGAAGGAACTGGATGGGCTTTAAGGTTCCTTCCAACACAAACCATTCCATGGTTCTATGATCTTAATAATAATCAGGTATCTGAGATTCAGTAACTTGCCTTTTTAGAAGGTCAGGTAATGATCACTTGTTAGGAGACACTAAGTGTTTGTGGCCAACTCTGAACGTGGGAATTTGGCTCTGTCATTCTTTGCAATCTATTTGAAAGACATACGTAGGTACTGAAGAAAGGTTCACTGTTCCTAATGCCTCTGCATGTCTTCCTAAATTCAAACGCATCTTCTCCATGGCCATTGCACAGTAACATTCAGTGGTTGCACAAAAGCTGAAGTACGAACTTGCTACTCAGACCATCATTCCAACAAAAAAATGCACCTAAAATACATAAAGAACCAAGGCACTCCCCACAGAAGCAAACTGCACCAAGAAAACAGACAGTCATTTTGCAGTGCCATTAGGGTTTACCAATTTTTGTAACTCCATACATTTATAAATTCACAATTTAGAATTCCTAGAACATTACTGCAATAAAACAAGTTTAAGCTTCAAACGCAGGCACATCTGTTTTATGCACTTGATTTTATTAACTTTATGAACGTTAAACCAAAAATATTTCAGCTCACCTACTGAGAGAAGACGCCACATAACAGCAGGGGTAGCAAAGCAAGCAAACACATCGTCAGTGCAGGCAAAGTGAGTGAGGTGGGGAAGGACCACAGACTGGCCGCGGCACTGGCCCCACATGTACACCTGGCCGCTCTGCGTCTTGGCAGCCGAAGTGTGAGCAGAGTGGCAGGCTGCAATCTCTATAACTCTAAATTTACAAGCAGAAAAAGAACAAAAGCAAGTCACTGTCACAAGAATAAAACGCAGTGAAAAAGCTCATACTGCCTGCATTTCCCTGGTGCAAAACACATCGACAAGCATACATGCACTTCAAATGGCGAGAACGTTTTCCTATGCAAAGTAACAAAATTGAAACGGTCATCGGTGTTTCTTTGAACAGCGTGCACTCAGAAAGTTCCTTGGTGAAAAAGCATTTGGGGAGTCAGGCAAGTAGGACAAGACAAGCAGTGCTGCAGCAGAGCACTAGGCTGCAGCACACGCTCTGCTGACCCTTGGCTCCCTCAGACAAAGCCACGGTGAGTTCCAAGTCTCCACTCGCCTTCGGTGGTCCTGCACAGCGAGGTGAGCTGTTGCATTAAGCTGTGGTGAAGGAGTATTTGAGAAATGGCAATAAACCAAATACCTAAGCAGCTTTCTTTTAATTAAAATACCGAAGTGTCGTTACTCATGCAATTCTTACTGCTTACATTTAACAGACTTTCATTTTGAATATGAAAAAAATAAAACCAAACAGAGCACTGAAAGCTGCTTCCAAATGCATTCTAGTTACGGCAGGCTATCTCAGTAATCCTACAGTTGATTTAGGATTTCATAAATGCCTCTGTGTACAGCATTGCACAATCCTCTGTTTTGCAGTCTGAACTATATCACCTGTTTGCTTGTTTTCCCAGCTGCTTGGGGAAAGTAGCTGGGAAACAACTTGTTTAAGGCTGCATGTACAAATCCTGCAGGCTTTAGCGAGCTAATATCCTCGCTCACACCAGGAATATAGATTCTGGCAAATAGAAGGGGAAGGCAATACACAGTATTAAAATCCATGCTAAAATATGGTAACATTTCAACTGCAGCCAAAGTGTCTGGAGAAAAAAAAAAAATCAGTTTAATTTTAAGCAAAAGCACAAACACAACCAAATAGCAATGTTCAAAACCAGGCCGTGTCTCATCTCATTGCCACAGAGGAGTTCTCCCTCTTGTCACTGCACTAACAGTCACAGATGTCTTTAAAGGGTCATCACACTTTTCTTACTATCCACAACAGAAGGCCAAAATCAACACCTCAGCAGCACAGAACAGACTGAAACATCAGCCCATACAAATACATGGCTTTGAATCAGCAGTAAAAGAATTACCCCACTACCCATCAACGACTCTTTCATTTGTAAAAATCAAAGCTTAATTTTCAAGCAGAGAGAGCAAGAAGAAACACTTCCCTTTCTCTCTCCTGAGTTATGTAATGGGTTTAACAGCAGATATAACACAAATTGCAGATATCCACTCCTTGTGTGCATTCTTTGTCAAACGTAGCATATTAAAATACAATTTCTGTTCAGAGGCAATAATGCTTTTATTCTTGACTTCAAACAATGAAACCACCAAAGAGAAACTGCAGTTAGGACCTATGAAGTACAGAGTGAGCTGCAGCAGAAAAATAGCACATTAAAGCCCAGAACATTCTGTTTCTCAGGGGTGGTTATAGGATGGATTCAAGCACTCCCAGTGAAAGTCAAATTTTGATGAACTGATTTTGTATGTCAGACAGACTTTCAATCCGTTTGCATTTAGCAACAGAACCGTATATAAAAAATGATAGGCTATTTCTTGCAAAAAATAGATTAAAAATGCCATAGTTTAGTGCTGCTCTTTTGAAAGTGTGCCAACCAATGTCTGTTTGAATATAAGTAAGTATTACCTGTCCTTATCCACAGTAACTGTAGTAGGGTAAGACTGGTTGCTTTTATTCCCAGTACCTAACTGGCCATATGAATTGGCTCCCCAGGCATAAATCTGACCTTCATCTGTTAGCACTAACGTATGTGCACAGCCACAGGCAACCTGTAAGGAATAATAAACAGAAAAATCTTTTTTATGTGATAGGAATTTAATACAGACAGATGTATGTTATGTTATACATTAATATCACTGATTCTAGGCCATTATAAAGACGGTCGATAAAAATGACAAATAGAGGTAAGATTATGAAAATGGAAAGCAAAGGAGAAAAGTGACTGAGGAAAAATAAATCATATGATCTCAAGAGTACAAAAAAGAACAGCCAGGAACTGAGAAAGAAGGAAAGCTACAGGGCAAACAGACAGTATGCTGAAAAAAGACAGGCCAACTCTTGCCCTGACCCTGCCCTATGGGCAATTGCTCCAACCTGAACAGCTTACTGTACAAGTTTTTTTACACTGTAAAAATATGTGAGGTCTCTCTGACTGCTGACTACACAAAAGCAGCTCCCTGTGCCAGCTCTGGTGCTAATTGGACCCTCTGTGGAGATAATTTACATCACTGGAAGGAAACTCTCTGCATGTGGGCCTGAGGACCACCAGCACTCACATAAAATAAACAGCCATCCAGGAAGGAGAGAGAAGAGATGAAACTCCATCTAAAACCAATTTGCCTTGTTCAAAACTGGCTCATGAACAATAATACAGCCTGCAAAGCAGATGTACTGTAAGAACACGCAGTCCACTGACATCCATGAATAATGAGATATGATCTAAATGATATTAATGCTAAAGCTATTTGCTGATCGGAAGCCCACAGTTTAGTACTGATGGGTACCAAACACATGAAGTGGATGAAAATAGGAATTATGGCAAACATACCAGGCCACTCAATACTCTCAAAGCAGCAGAACACATACAGGAGAAAATGTTATTCACTTTATTGTATTATCCTCCACTAGTAAATGTTACCAGCAAAGCTACAGACTGTATCCCAGGACATGAATGCAGAAGTATGTTCATTTCAATAGATAGTGAAAAAACAATTTCTTAACTTATCTGATTAAATGTGATTATTAGAATGAAGAATTCACTAAAGTTTTGTAAAATCTCACTGGATTACAAAAAAAGACCAGTCAAGCAGAATGTGTTGCTCTCCTGACAGTCCTCTGTTTTGGATAAATCATTTTAAAACTTTTGGTATCCATTCTGCATTCACTTTAAATATTTCTAACTGGTAAAAAGAACTGCTGGTGACACTGATGGCAACTCAGTCCTTTGGTAGAGTGTAAGAACCACCCAAGTTCAAGACCTGCTATGGAAACATACCAACATACCAAAAGCACCCACGGACGATTTGTTCTGAGTTCAAACACCCACTAGTCACTGTGGTTGAAGTGCAATTCTAAAAGTGACATTAAGTCTAACAGGACAAAAAGCTAAACTGTGGCCATTTTCCTAGAGGGGAAAAAAAAAAAAAGATGGGCTGTAATGAAGAATGGAGTAGCACAAGAAGAGTTATTAAAATAAACAGTTATTAAAAATTGGATTTTTTGAAGAAAAAAAGAAATGACCAAACGTTCCTAATTGCCCACTCCTCTTTGAGTGAAATCCTTACCTCACTGAAATTAATGGCAAAATTCCAACTGAACTCCCCAGGGTCACAGTTTGTCAGAGGTCCGTTCTAAGACACATGCTCTTATTCTGATAAATGGTATTTTAAACAAAGAGATAAAGAACTTCCTTCACATAAAAAATACAGTCTGGTACCAGATCTGGAGGTTGGTGGCCCTCCCTGTGGCAAGGAGGCTGGAACTTGATGATCCTTGGGGTGTCTTGCAACACAAGCCATTGTATGATTCTATGCTGATTCTATGAATATCCCTGAGCTTATTTTATTGTTTCCAAAGGGTTTGAGAAGGGCACTGCACACATACCCGCTGCACGCGAACGCCTTGCAAGGCTGCTATTCGGCACGGCGTTGGCTGATTGCCGCTGCTGCCCAGCCCCAGCTGGCCGTTACCATTGTAACCCCAGACATAGACCTACAAGACAAAGACAGGGATTTTAGCTGTTTGCCATTCCTTTGAAAACAATGTAACCACTTCACCCTTCCAACAGTTTCCTTCAATATTTCAGCTTCCCACACCTGGGAACTTAGGATCTGCACTTTATAGGTAGATACTTTCATGTGTACAGGCACCAAAAGTCTAATCCTTCCTCTTCACCCTGCTCTTTAGAAGTCATAGCAGTGAAAAACAAGTGATTCACAGGGCTTTTCCCCAGCACAGAGCAAATTCAGCAGGAATACTTCCCTTTTTCAAAGAGTTAGTTTCTCATTCAAAAATCCTCTAACACAAGAGAACACATATTAAACCAAGTATCAACTGGAAGCTATACACAACAGTTTGAATAGACTGCTCACAGTTTCATGCTGTAAAAGGAAAATAGCGAAGGCTGAGCATATTCCTAATGCAAACAGTCAATAGCTTCCTAGGTCTAAACTGAAATGCTTAGAGCAATGAATCCAGAGAGCATTTAGGCTGCCCAAAATCTTCAGCTCAAGTGAACTAAAGCAATAGGAAAACGATATCCCTTTCACATCCTCACAGAGATGGAGATAAAAGGTATGAGAGGGGCTTGATGCAGTGGAACGAACATTTGCTATCAAATTCATTTTCTGTTGGTTTGGATTTTTGTCTTCATATTAGCTGTGTCTATACAAAGACTGAATATTAAGATAGCACTCACTGATTATTCTCACATTCTTGATTGATAAGATTCTAGCACAGAGCAGATAATTAATTTTGCCGTAACTGCTAAAGACAGCAGTGACACAACATCAGTCAGCACCTTCATTTCTGCAAGAACGTAATACCAACTGGAAAAATCAATAAATCAGTAATAAAAAGTTACCTTTTTATGTATGAGAAAATGAAGCTAGCATGAAATATTAAGTACACATATATAGCTTTTATGATTTGATCCCCAAATTTATAAAAATCTCCTGACCTTTAAAACGCTGTGTTTTTTTTTTCCCTTGAGAACTGTATTTTCAAGTCAATTTTAAATTTGATCCCTGAATTCCTTCAGGTCAAAGCCAACTTCAGTAGCTGATACTAAGTAATAGCTGATCAGTTTTGAGCAATCTCATAAGGCAAAATTTCCCTGTGCAACTTCTTTCTAAAGAAGATGGGAAAAGCATTATGGATAGGAAGATGTGCTTAAGCACACTGTGAGGATATGCAAGCCAACTCATGACAAAGCCTTTCACAAACAGTGTAAGCAGGCAAGTCAGATGGACTCTGGAAATAAATGCTTCCTTTCTCCTTGGCAGCAAATTACAGAGAGGTTTTAAATGACTTCACTGCTGTCGTACATACAATAAAGTTTAGTCTGAAAATTCACTTAATATTTCTTACCTCTCCATTTTCCACCACAGCCATAGAGCACATTTGACCACAGGCTATGTTAACTACAACTTTATTTTGTAGGCAGCTGGTAACTCTTCGAGGAATTGGCTGATTAGCAGTTGAACCAGATCCAACCTGGCCTGAGTTATTATAACCCCACGTGTACACCTGTTGTAAATGAATTCTCGTAAGTGAAAGGTATATAACAGACATCTCTAAGTACACATTCAAGAGAGAAAGATTTGTTAGATGTGAAAGAAACACATATTTAGGTTGTATTCATGTGCTCTTCTACAGATCCAGGAAGCTACACAGGTTTATAATTTAAGTGTTTCCATCAAAAATATGCAACTCACAGTATTTTTTATATCCTGTTCTTTAATGTTTCTCCTACCAAAGATAAGAGGCAGCACAAGAACTGCACTCATACTGAGAGATTTCACTGTTAGTTTACCAGAACCCAAAACACAATGGCTAACTGGATTCAAATAACATCTGAAAGTAAATGACAGAAACACTTCTTCCTCCAGCAAGTAGAACTTCTTACTTCTTACTTCTGATGTCATGATTTAAACTGACATCAGCTTTAGTGATGTTAAGTATCTACAGTAGGATACAGCATAGAAGAAATGGTAATTTCTTTTTATAAACAGAAGTAACACAAAAACCAATGTCCTGCATACACTTCAAAGCTGATTCAAAACTCCAAGATTTTCCATTTTTCTTTAACATTTTTGTTGCAACATCACTCTGTGAACAGAAAGAAGGAAGACTGATACATCAGGTGCAGTGTGTTTTCCTGTTCCTCTCATACCCAAATTTCATTAGGAGAAAAAAAAAGATTCACTCTCTAGCTTTTCTCACCTCCCCATCAGATGTTAACACCATAGAGTGATGAGAGCCACAAGCAACTTCAATGACTTTCTTGTTCACCAAGTTGGTAGAGACTTGACAGGGAACCAAACCATGATTGGTTGTACCATTGCCCAACTGACTGTAAGCATTATGACCCCATGTGTACACTTCTCCTTCTGTAATAAAAAACATAAGAAGCTACTAGGAAATCTGTTTTTCCAAAGACTACAGAACATGAAATTACAAACTAGTAAGTGAAATTCAGCAAGACACTGTATGTAGTTAAGTATATATATGTCCTTTTTGGCTCTTAATCCCAGGGATATACTACTGCTCTTCTCACAGCATTTAAGACAAATCCACAGTGATAGTATCCATAATATCCACACAGTCTTCATAAAAGAAATCAGAAAGCCAAGAGAAAGGAGATCGATAGAGCAAAACAGAAGAGTAAAAGATGAAATGACAGTCTGTTTCAGTTCATGCTTTTGTTACTGAGAATGAATCAAAATTTCTGTATAAGCCCTGGCCCTGTGTTTCCCATTTTTAAAAGCTCAGTCCATTTTCATCCTATTGCAATATAAGTAAAGATGCTTGTAAGAAAAACAATTATGTAATGCTGCTGCTTATTACATCAACATATCATTTGCATCCTGTATTTTGAGAAACATGGTAGTAAAACTAAGAATGCAAGAAATGTGGATGCCCCATCCCTGGAGGCATTCAAGGCCAGGCTGGATGTGGCTCTGGGCAGCCTGGTCTGGTGGCTGGCGACCCTCAACATAGCAGGGGTTGAAACGAGATGATCATTGTGGTCCTTTTCAACCCAGGTTGTTCTATGATTCTCTGTCTGACTGGGTTAGACCAACAGTCTGCTGCAGAACTGTGTGTCTGCCTGGTAATTCAAAAAAAAGTGATGCTTAAAGGTAACTTGAACCTGAGCCTGGTCACTTCTTGCAGCTCATTCCCTGGGTACTTCCTCAGTACTTACAACCTCTGGATTAAGGATATTATAATTCTCCTGATTCACTTAAATATATGTGTACTGGTCTTATTACCCACGAGGCTATTGTATTTACTTTTCTTATCTGTTTTACATCAGTTGTTCTCTAATTGCAGTAGCTGGCCAGATACAGTGAATAATAGTTCTACATTCATCTTGTCTATCATCATCATTTTCTAAACATCAATTATGCTGTTATTCTAGGAGAGTTAGATTTGACACAGACCTCCTTCAGATCTCTAGATTCTCTATTTGATATTTTCACCAAGGGTTCCCTCAAAATTACCAAAGCAAAATGTGCTATACTAAACCAGTATTTCTCTCCAGGTTTTCTCTACTGACTTTACCCTGACAAAAGCAAATAACATGAGACTATGTATTTCAGAACATACATGAAACAGGTTCACATAGAAACTGTGGACTAATTGAAGTGAACCATTCTGAAAAAAGTAGTATTTGCATCATACTTTACCTTCTGTAGCAAGAACAACATGAGGACCACTTCCATAACTCAGACAGGCTATCTTTTTGCCACACAGAGAATCTAATCTCTTTGGCTCAATTGTGCTCTGCACGTCTCCGGTTCCCAAACACCCACTGCAGTTCATGCCAAGCACAAAAACCTGTTATAAAAGAATCACACAATCATAACTTAGGGGAGAACAGACCATCAGAGGCCAATTAGTCCATCTAGTCCCTTACTCAACAAAGGTCTACATATATCAGTTCACTCAAGACCATGACCTTTCGAGTCTTGGCCACCACCAGGGTCATTAAGCTCTCCAAGATGTAACCACTGACATTGTAATAAAAATATTCTAGTATTTCATTGGAATTTCCCATGTTCCAACTTGTGTTCATGCACCTCCAAGAAATCTTTACCTTCATCTTCTCTTTATTCCCTGAAAGTGGTAAGAGGCCAGCTTTAATTGCAAATGTCTTAGTTTTAATGAAAAGGTTCAGGTATTCAATATGCAACTTTTTCTCAGTATGTAACAGTACCAGCTTTCACAAAATCTTGACACATAAATCAGAAACCTCACACTCTTGGACAATTACCTCATCATTTTCAGTTACATACAGCACCTCGTTACCAGCACTGCCAAATACACAGGCTTGACGAATTAACTTGAGCTCCTCTTGTGAACAAAGGGAAAAAATCGGCCATTTCCCAACATCCAGCATCTTCAGGGCTGATAATAACGTTGCCTCCAAGACCTGATGTTACAGACAAATTATATCAAATAGCTACGTAGAGAGAAATATACTTTTGCATGATGAAAAGGATAAATTGAGACAAACACCACTACCTGCATTCTCAACCACAGAACAGTATTTTAATTCCAGAACAACACCCTCAGCAAAACCATTATAATAAACAAATAAACTGCATCCTGATCTAGAAAGAAAGGATCTGTGTGCATGAAGACAACTACAATGTAAGACGTTAAATGCTGTGGTCACATTTTTGCTGTATCCATAGAATGTGACTACTACATTAGAGGATTCAAAATACAGGATTCTAATACTAAGATGTAAAGTATACATCCAAAATCTGAAAACAGTGTGCTAAAATTCTTGTTGTAAAAAAAAAACAAAAACAAAAACATGAAAGATATCTGCCCAAGCATGTACTTCTCTTTGAAAAAGACACACGTTTGTTTTCATACATTAAAAATGGAAAGTTGAGAAAACTCAAGAAACCTTTTCCTTTATCCTTTACTTCTGGAACCACCTGTGTTTCAAAAGTTACTTTCTAAGAATATTTGTGTCTGTAGGTAGATATATAATATGAAAAAAAAAAAAAAAGATAATAGAACATTCTCCACTTCATTCAAGGAGAAACAACAACTTCCTAGCAAAGGAGAAGAAAAATAATTCTCTCCAGACAGTGAAACTAGTTAATGTCTGATTTTCACTCAACATTTCTACTGCTTCAGCACAGCATGAATCAGAAAAATGTTCCAGTATTAACTTTTAATAGCAAATTTTGCATGGAGCACTCATCAAATTTTCTTTTACTAAAATTAAAGAAGTTCTGGATGTGAAAGAGAAGTAGCAGTAATTGGTAGCTCTGACGAGGAGTAAGAATAGATTTTTCCTATCACTGCATTACACAGTTCACCATGTAACAGCAAGGACTGCATCACTTGCTTACCTCTAGGAAGTATCAGACTTTCAAAACACTGTCACAGGAAATACACATCTTTATCTATATTTATATATATAAAATCTGTGACTGAAACAAAGCTGTGAATAAATTCTAGTTTGGAGTCACCTATGTTAGTTGTAAGGATATCACTTTTGTGACTAACGTCACTTATGAGAAAATGTATGCAGAAGCATAGATAGAAACATTTCAAACTAAAGAAATCTTCGAAATTAACTGTGAATGTCAATCTTTCAACAAATACACTTCTAAGGAAGGAGAAGGAGGACTGGTCATGTTCCATAAGGAAAAGCTGTGGTTTTGATCGCAGTTTATTTTCCCATGTCCTCATAGCAAATAATTTCATTTAATAACCAGTCTAGAAGCTGGTTATTCGGTTTTGTCATACAGATCACCTTATCAACACATCATCATGAAGCTCAGAATCTAAATGACGTGTTTCCCTAAGTTCTACAGGCAGAGTGTACAAAGAAAGAGACAACAATTTGCAGTTTTCTCACCACATTATGCTCTAAAAATTAATTATTACAAGTCTGTGTTGCTGAAACACTAAACTGAAGAAAGCAACTTTGAAACTTAATACTAAATTAAACCAATCTGGTAAGCCAAAGAATTCCAACTGATTAAAGTGAATCTATTGACTGATTTAAATGAATCTATTTTAATATTTTGTGGATCACATAAGATCTGCAAGTATCCTTTTTCTACCTACAGTTTTGGTTTTCTGTTTATCTTGAAAGCTACTGGCATGTACTAAGCTAGTAATAAAACCGTGCTTCTTTCTCTTGAGTCGAGATGCATGGAATTCTCAGCACGAATTCTCACACTCTGACCTTGACACTGACTCCTTGAGAAGGAGGAGGTTCATCTTCCATATGGATTTGTGCTGGTGTCCCTCTGCAGAGAGAGAACTGTAGTTAAAATCGCCGTATCATTTTGCTGCAACCTACACACATTTCTTATTAAGACCAAACTCTTTGTTTGTTTCTTTGAGAAAACAAAAATCATGAAGCTCAGACAATTTTGTTTTTACTTTCAGCTGTATGATGGTCAGTGACTCAATTTTCTGTCTTTTCTGTTCTTACCAAAATCTTGGAGACAACTTTTTTAAACAAGTAGCATAATTGAAAAAGTTTTAATAGACACAATACTCCAACATGTTTTTACTGGAGTAAAAATGAACTTAAAAACTTGCTGATGTAATCTTCCAAGACATTTTTTTCAGCAAAGAAAAAGCACACAGATACAACTTCCCATTTCTGGCATAACCCTTTAAATATTTTTATTCCTTCTTCATTCTGAAAGGCAGTGTATGGGAAAAAAAAACAAACAAACAACACCACAAAAACATTTGGACATTTTCAGATTTACTGAGAATTGCTAGAATATTCATTCTGTTTCTGAAACAACTGGCAGCTCTGTAAGTGACCTGCATGGCTTCTATGATGTGCATCACCAAGGGAAACAAATCTTCAGATCAGCTGTCTCCTCCCTGATGAGGATGGCCAACCCTACTGCCCTCCATTTCCCAACACAAAGCTGTGCAAATCCATTTTCAGTAGAAATGTACAAAAGAGCACACAGCTCTTAAGCCATGCAAGCGTCTCTTACTTGACAAATGAGAAAGCAGTACCCATCATTTTCCTGGAGATACACTGATTCAGCCAATTCTAAAAATATCTTTACCTCCCACAGAAAACCAAACATCTGACAGCAGGCTGAATGACATCCAAGGGACGAGCAGCTATCATTTTACTCAGCTACTCTTCATAAGACTGCCACACGTCAAAGACGTTTTATAAAACTTCTAGTTTTCTAATTTAAGTGAAAGCACAGCTCTGTATCTCTGCATTTCATCTGCAAGCCATTTGATGCACAACTGATGGTTATTATTCTTCAAGTTCTGATATTTCAATTCGGTTGCCTTAGGATGGAGCACTGCAGTTACTGAATGAAAGGTTCTCCAGCCCCCTACTTTTTCAGTGTTCCAGAAACATACTGAGAATTTTGAGTTAACTTTGCAACACAGATCGCCTACATGGCCTCAAAATGCAAAAGCTGCTTTATTTTAAATGTAACTGAGAAAATTACTTTGCAATTCCATTCTTCAAGATATTTTGCAAACGCAGACATCTTATTTCCCATCAGTCCTACAGGAGTGCATGGAACACCCCAGATAACATCTGTTTATGCTGTTATTCAAATTCATTTGTTCTCATACACATTTCTACCTCTGCAAAAGTGTTCTTTGTAAAAGCTTGTAAGTGATTTAAGATTATACAGAGACCGCTGGATCCTGAAAGCGAAGAAGAAAACAAATATTAAATCGTTAAGCCTACCTAAGAAACATTCTTATTTGTGGACCTACTGATTATTCACATTTTCTTACTCTTTTAGGAATTCTTCCTCCAGAAAAAATAACAGTGAAGCAAAAGAAAAGCAGTACTTTCATCAATGATTAAAGAGTAGAACCTGTGCACATTTGAGGACTCCAGATACAGAAGAAAAACAAAGTCCAATCTATTACAGACAAGTTATTCAGACTGTTTATCTATAAAGTTTTAAAATACTCATTTAATCTCTAAGAATTCTTGCTTTAAAATAAACACCCATTACTTAAAAAAAAAAAAAGCAATACTTACTTTTGAAAGTAAATAGGTAAGCAACATATACTTCTCATGTATTAAAACTTTATATTCACTAGCTGCTTTTCCCCCAAAAATCTAACGTGCCGATCTAAAAGAAAAAACATCATTTTTTTGTGGAAGTACACAAAGTTTCAGTACAAAAATATTTATATTAAGCTTCACAAATCTCTTATCTGGAATCCAAGTACAATCTAAGAATCTGGACAGCGTACTCTGGCAGTCTGTGTCAAGACTTTTTCTGTCTCTGGATCTGCTCCAACCATGGTCTTGGCACAAGCTATGTATGCCTTTGTGGTATAGATAAGATTGAGTTAAGGAACATAAATGCTGCTTCTATTAGCCAGGTTCCATTAAGAGTCTAACCAGATCACTTAATACTAAATGTTTATACAGGTTCACTGACGCATTCAAATGTAAACATTCCTGCAGATTTTCTCTCTAGGAACTTGGCAAGCCAACAGGTTGGTTTTTTGTTTTTTTTTTTTCTTTCCAGAACTCCACTTAGCATTTCCTCCCACTTAATTTGAGCATTTATGAAACTCATCTGCTGAACCAAAGGTCTGTCTGGAGTATCTTGCCCCAGGAACTCTAACCACAGGCTTTGGAAAAAGCAGGAGGGAAAAGTCACAGGCAAAAAAGGACTTGCTGACACCCTTAGGAAAGGGACCTAAACTTCTCTGATCTTGATTTCTCAGCAGCCATGTACAAGAGCAGTCATGAGATTACGCTAACCTGTCCAAGTGATCTCACAGGAGAGGACAGAATGATAATCACAGAATCACAGAGCAGAAATTGGGGAGGGGACCTCTGGAGATCATCATGGAGTGCAATCACCTGCCAAAGCACGTTCCCTACGGCAGGTTGCGCAGGGAAGCATCCAGGTGGGTTCTGAATATCTGCACAGAGGGTGACTCCACAGCCTCTCTGGCAAGCTTGTTGCAGTGAACACCTTTCACCTATCACCCTTAAAGTGAAGAATTTTTCCCTTGTGTCTCTATGGAAATTCCTATGTTCCAGTTACTGGTCATTACCCCCTTTTCAGCTGGGCACCACTACAAATAGCCTGGCCCCATCCACTTGACTCCTGTCCTTAAGATATTTATAAGCACTGATAAGATCCCCAGGCCCTTAATCACTTTTGTAGCCCTCTGTTGCACTCTGTCTAGAAGACCTCTGTCTTCCTTGAACTGAGGAGCACACAGTATTCCAGACGCGGCCTCACCAGTGCAGACGGGGAGGATCTCTTCCCTTGACCCACTGGCCACACTCCTTTTAATGCACCCCAGGATCCCACTGGCCTTCCTGACCACAAGGGCACGCTGGTGGCTCATGGCCAAGCTGTCATCCACCAGGACCCCCAGGTCCTTCTCCACAGAGGTCATATTATCAATAGCTACTCCCGCTGAAGAGATTACATTTCCTTCCCAAAAAGATGTGAGTCTACATTCAAAATTAACATCCTTCTTCATGTACAGTGAAATGTCAGTACTTTGTCCGGCGCTGAGCATAAACTGACAGAACTCAGCTTTTCATTTATCTCTCCACTGATGCAACATCGTCCTTTACCAAGAAACTGCAGACCCTGAAAAACAGTCAGTGGTTGGTTGAAGAGCTGCTATCTCCAACTAAAGAATGGTCTTCTCTCATTCCCTTCTTGCTTCCTGACACCAGACAGTGACTTCTCAGCTCCTGATGCAAGCTCCTCTGGGTGCATACTAATTTCAAAAGCAAAGGTACACATAATTTAAAAGGTAAATCCATGAACCTTTCAAAGACTGAAATCTCGACAGTCTTCCAGATTGTCATCCTTGACCTTGCAAGGGAGCTGCTACAGAAGTTTTGAATTAAAATGACCTAAGACAGTGTTACTGTCTCACTCCACAGAGACAAAACTTTAGCCAAAAACAGCTTGTCAGACGCCGTTTCTTTTTTAGCACCATAACCAGTTGTACCTGTTGGCTGGGACAGACCTCCAGAAATACCTCACTGAATTTATCAGAGGGCCATCTACATACAGAATGTGTTTTTTGGAGCTGGATACTTGAAATCTATTTGCAGAGGCCTTTTTTTTTTTCTTCAGTAATATCATCATGACCAGAAAGAAATTAATTGCCAAAAATGAAAGCAGTGAAGAAGCTGGAAATAATAAATAAAAAGGAAAAATGGACACACCAAAAGCAAGGACCATAGGGAGAATACTGACACATCCAGCACCATCCTTTACTACAGGTTCAATACCACTTTGATACAGCCTAAATACTTCAAGGAAAAACATTTTGAAGCACATGAGAAGTAGGAAAGAAAATGTGAGCTTTCAACTCTCCAATGGATTAAAAAGAAGTGTCTGGGTGTAATGTGAAATTCCTGCTCTAAGTGACAACACTGCTTTGAAAATCCTATGCAGATTCCTGGGACACCTCCCCCTCACTTGCAAAAAAAAAAAAAAATCTTAGAAGATTTGGACTTGCAAGAAAATCTGAGTTTTATAAAATTCAATAAGACTTTTCTAAGTCTTAAATAATAGAGATGAGAAAGCACACTGTCCATTACTAACATTATTTATTTCCCCTATCTCTATTCTAATTACTCTTTTTCCCCTTAGAACTGCTGTGAGATATAGAATGGCGTATTGTTTACCAGTGAGCAACAAGAGTGGAACTGACTGGAGAAATACATCATTATCTACCAGAGAAAAAACGTTTAAAGCAGAAGAAACAATTCTCCAATTCCTTTTTCTCGTTCTACAAACCCTCCAGCTACCCTGATAAAAATCTGAAAGCTTTGGCTATCCATCTGCTGGTTTAGAAAACAAGAAAAAAGAAAAAAAAGAAGTCAAGGTCAGCTGCTAAAAAAGTCTAATTAAAACTGTCAATCAAACGTATTTTTAATTTAAAATGTTTTCACTTATTTCTGCAAGTGCAAAAACACCTTCTGAAGGCAGTCAAGTGTTTCAGATTTCGCAAAGTGAATGCACAAACTGCCCTCAGTGCTCAACACTGCTGTAAGAATGCCAGGGTCACTTCCACATGCATACTTCTGCAGTAAAAAAGAGTATTATCTCCAGATCTTGAAGACATTAAAATAATCAAACATTTTCTTAGACAGTTTCTGGGTAAAAGGATGTTATTCCTGTATCTGTTTCTAAGCTGAGATGTTGAAGAATTCCTTTTTTTAATGCCTGATCCCAGATGCAAAAAGCAGTTTCTCTTTGCTAAACTGTTAGCCAAAATCCAAACACGCTTCAGTTCCTGTAATCCGTGTAGATACAAACATAACAAAATATTAACAACTGATGCAGTTATTAGCTCCTGTCCATTTAAAACACTACATAAAATTAAATTTACTATGTAGTTGATTTGGTATAACTGACACACACTGATTCTTCATTTTGACTCTCCAACATGAGAATTCAAAGAACCACCTTTAGGGGAAAAAGAGTATTCAGATTAGTTGGCTTTAGAAGATCTTTATTAAAGATATTAATTAAGTAGCATTAATTCAAAATAATGCAATAAGTGTGAAAGGAATAGATGGTTATTATATCTTTATAAACTTAAGAAATCATAGTACAGAAAATGTTTAAGGTTTAAGAATGTAAGAAATGCTAACAGCTCACCAAGTCTATCAGGATAAATTGTGTACAAGCCCGAGATTTAAGTAGTATTGCAGCTGCAAGGGGGAACCTGACTAAACACAGATCGAACAGCATAGGAACAGCATGTCAGGAAAGGGTCTTTCTCTTATTATGTAACCACAACTTCCATCTTGCATTTATAGAAAAACAATAAACAAATTCACTTACATTATTATGCCTCCTCTATGGGAATCTCACCTACCTGAATTGCTATTAGACAGCAGTTACCTGACCCAGCCAAATTCTGATCCATAGATCAGTCTAGCTCGTGAGGATCTTTGGACTTCATATTCTCCTTGAGCTGTTAAAGAAGAATGCAGTTTCTATAGTTGTAATCTTTGACTACTTCCTTGGATGTCCAAGAACGATCTGCCTAGCTCCATTTAAGCTAAACTTCAATTTACAAAATGTACCTTCTACCAGGTACAAAATCAAACAAAAACTAACTAACTAAACAAGCCCATAAGCACTGCACTCAACCACTCCATTTTCTCTATTCCTGGCTTGTTTAGATTTAACACAGTTTTTCAGCACACTGGGTCACCAAGATAAGGGCTTTTTTTTTCCAGATCATGTCTAACACTACCACAGCATGAATCAATGCCTGTAGATACACTTCCCTCTTCTCCCTCTAGCTCTAGGCACCTGCAGGAGAGTTTCCCATGAATCAAGCATAAAAGATCAGGTAGGATAGGAGGGGGGTGTATACCCCAAACCTTCCTCCATACAATGTCAGAATCTTCAGGATGTTTTACCTCAATTTTTTCACTCAGTGGTCTTATTTCAACTCTTGTTTTTCCTTACATGATTAGAGAAGCTCTTAAAACTCTTGCCTCTAACTAACTCAGACTTAATTCTGGCAATTTTCACTCCATCAGTACACTTTATCTCCTGCAGCTTTCTTTGTTTATCCATCCCTTTTCTATTCTTTATACCCAAAATTCTTTTCAAAATATATAAAAATCAAGCAGACTTTTTTTTTTTTTTTTTTTTTTTTTTTAAATACTACTTCCAAATAAATTCTACCTTTGGCATAAAACAATTTCATACCTTCTTTACTTCCAGGGCCCTCAGGACTCCTGTACAACTGATATCTCATTAACTAATCCCTTTGAATGTTCAGAGTTGCCCCTTCCAACATCGTGAATTTCAATATATCTTTGTTTATCCCTGTACTGTATTTCTATAATTAAACTAAAAATGTGGCAGCAGGCCAAAAGCTCTTCTCAGAATTTTTTACACCTAATGAGAGTGACTCTAAGGCAATGCAGTACCTGCTCAGTAAGCTTGGAGCAGATGTATGCGAGAACAACTGGGCTTATATGTCATCTGTATTGAAAAAAGAACTCCACCTGTGACATAATTCCTGATGGTATCACACAGTAAGCACTATCCTTACCCAAATCCAGCTCTTCTAGACTATAGCAGAAACCATCAAAAGCTCTTATAATTTTTTAAATCAAAGCTAGATAAGCTTGATTCTTGCTTATCCACACAGCTTCTTCCTGTTACTTTACAGTTCATTGTAAGGACATGTGTCCATGTCACACTGTCACATGTATTTCTCATGTCTGGACAGCATTAGCACTCCTAACTCACATGCATCAAGATTGTTATTTTCTCCATGTTTCTCTATGTACCATGTCATCCTTCACCACCAGTCCAGCCCAAATGTTTCACAGTGCTACACAAAACCAACTGTCTATGGACCTTACTCAGTCTGTAACAAGGAGTAAAATCCCTCTGCTAATTTTACCCTTTTTATTATCTATCAATATTAGAACTTTCATTTCCAGAAGGAAACACAGTGTGATTCCCTAATCTCTCAAGCCTTTGTCATTTGTTAAGTCTTAATTTCCGTTTGTCTTTTTCTGCACTGACTGTGATCAAACACTGAGCTAAGCTTGCCAAACATATTGCAAACTTCATACTGCTTCATGAGCCAGCAAGGTGCCCTCACAGCCCAGAAAGCCAATCGTATCCTGGACTGCATCCAAAAGCAGTGTGGCCAGCAGGGCGAGGGAGTGATCCTGCCCCTCTGCCCTGCACTGTGAGACCTCACCTGGAGTGCTGCATCCAGATGTGGAGTCCTCAGCACAGGAGGGACATGGACCTGCTGGAGCGTGTCCAGAGGAGGGCCACAGAAGTGATCTGAGGGATGGAACACCTCTCCTATGAGGACAGGCTGAGGGAGCTGGGGCTGTTCAGCACGGAGAAGGCTCTGAGATAATCTGAGCTGCCTTCCTGTATCTAAAGGGGGACTGGAAGAGGGAAGGAGACAGACAGGGCCTGCTGTAACAGGACAAGGGGAAATGGTTTCAAAGTAAAAGAAGGGAGATTTAGACTGGATATAAGGAAGAAGTTTTTTGCAAGGGTGGTGAGGCAGTGGCACGGGTTGCCCAGAGAGGTGGTGGATGCCCCATCCTTGCAGACACCCAAAGTCAGGCTGGACTGGGCTCTGAGCACCGGATCGAACTGGAGGTGTCCCAGTTTGTTGCAGAGCAATTGGACCAGCTAGCCCTTATGGCTCCTTCCCAACTCAACGGATTCTGTGATTTATACTTCACGCTGAGGACACAACTCCCCAGCACCACACGCACACTCCTGTCTGAGAGTATTTATATATTTATATAGACTGAAAACACAAAGCGACGGACTGTGCGACACAACACCCGCCTGACAAGACCCGCCCATCTTCCAACAGCGGGCTGCTGGCAGGACCCCACGACCGCCCCCCACAGCACAGCTCCCGCCAAGCCGCCCGCCGCCCCGCCCCGCCGCAGGGCCGCAGCCAACAGCAGCGAGAGCAGGGCGGGAAGCGCAGGCGCGCAGCGCCCTCCCTTTCCGTCCCCTCCCCCGCCGCGGGGCGGCCGGCACCGTTCACTAGAGTCCCGGTTGCGCTCCCGAACGCCGCTCGGCCGCAGCGCCGTGCCTCCGCTCTCCCCAGCGGATCTGCTCTACTCGCCGCCCGGGGGTGGGGGAGGCGGTGGCGGGCCCCTCGTTCCGTCGCTTACCTTCTCCGCAGGCGGCGGCTCCTCCTCCCCGCGATGAGACAAGGGAGGATGCCGCCGCGCTCAGGCGCCTCCTCAGCCGCGGAGGGGGGAGGGAAGGAGGGAGGGAAGGGGGCAAGCGCCTCCCAGGGATCCACCTCCTGCGGCGGGAGAGCCGTCTTCCTTGCGAAGGCACGGCTGTTTTGGCGGAGCGGCCGCCTTGAAGAGGATGGGGTGCTCCGAGCGGGCACGGCGCTGAGGGGAGGTAGTGCGAATCGCTATCACCGAGCGTCTTCCTAGGCGCAGCATCTATAGCCTGCTGGTCACGTCTCTTAACCTGCTGACCTGCCTTCTTGCTGTGGTGTGTGTTCGGAGACCTTTGCCGCTGTATTCAGTGATAGCAGGGAGTGGGAGCCGTATTCAGGAGGAGAAAGCTTGCTCTGTGGCTTCACAGCAATCTATAAAAAAATGTTGTATCTTGCTCCAGAAGTAATGCCTGCTGTTTTGTATAAAGGTTTTCCTCATAAATTACAGGATTGTACTGTAAGTACCCAAGTCTCTTTAGTCAACAAACCTGCTTTGGAAGCACCATAAGAAGGGTTATGTTATCATAGAATCATAGAATGGTCTGGTTTGAAAAGGACCACAATGATCATCCAGTTTCAACCCCCTGCTCTGTGCAGGGTCACCCAACCACCAGACCAGGCTGCCCAGAGCCACATCCAGCCTGGCCTTGAATGCCTCCGGGGATGGGGCATCCACAACTTCCTTGGGCAACCTGTTCCAGTGTGTCACCACCCTCTGTGCGAAAAACTTCCTCCTAAAATCTAACCTAAACCTCCTCTGTCTCAGTTTGAAACAATTCCCCATTGTCCAGTCACTATGCACCCTCATGAAACAGCCATTCCCCCTCATTATGGAATGCTGTTTTTTTATATAGACTGAAATTGCACTTCCAGATGGAAAGAAAAAAAAAAAAAAACAACAATTATTGAAATGGAGTTTTCTAAGAATTTCGTTCTTTATTTCCTGCTTGTGGTAGATTTCAGAAGTTGGATGTCATATCTTAGTCCAGACAGTTTTGAATTATTTGATTTCAGAATCTGGAAAAGTTTGAGACTTTCTGTCTCCTATCTGATGATGAACAAGAAACAATAGCGTAGACAAATACTGGTTTCATTTGTGTCACTGCAAGCACCAGTCACAGCTACAGGAGAGCAGACATGAACCAAAGCTCCTTAGTGTAGTAACTATAATACTTGCTTGTGGTTTATGTGTGATACTAGTTTAAATACCTAAGTTAAAGTACCTAAGGGACTCTGATATGTGATAATAAGGGGGAGAGAGAGAGATGGCTTGATAGTGATAGGATAAGGGGAAATGGCTTTAGGCTAAATGAGGGGAGATTTAGGTTAGATGTTAAGAAGAGATTTTTTATTTAGAAGGTGGTGAGGCACTGGAAAATGCTGTTCAGGGAGGATGTGGATGCCCCATCTCTGGAGCTGTTCAAGGCCAAGTTGGATGGGGCCCTGAGCAGCCTGAGCTGGTGGTGGAAGCCTGCCCATGGCAGGGGGTTGGAACTGGATGAGCTCTAAGGCCCCTTCCAACCCAAGCCATTCTGTGATTTTGCATAATGATTCGTGTAGAATGTGCGATGGAGGACAGCAGACTTGGGGATGTTGTCTTCAATAAGGAAGATAACGTCATTCTTTGTAATTTTGTTCTCTCTTTATATACAATAAACAGACTGCTGTAAAACACAAAGCAATTTATTGTATGTTACCATGTTCATTTCTCTGGTATCTGTTTTCTTGAACCCTTTTCAGGGGGGGAAAAAATGTTGCTGGATTTCAGTAGTGTGTAAATATACCTGATAATGTCGGTCTCACAGGCAGCGGTAGCAAGTTACTCGTTTTCAGATTAACAGCAAGGCAGGTATTTTTGGTAAGAGTAATTGTCCCCTAAGTCAAATTTCGTCTTAGGCTGTGAGCTGTTTATTGATTCTTCAGTGAATGTTTTCGAAGAATATTGGATATTTTTCTAAAAGTTATGCTTTATTTAACTGCAGGAAGCACTATTAGGCTGAAGGTTACACTTAGAATCAGTGGAAAAGATCACCATCTTGACCCACTGAAACAAACTTTGGTGTAGTGCACTATAGTCCTTAAATCTAGAAGCAATGGATGCAGATATACATCAAAGAAACTGAATCAATTGGTGAAAGATTGAGGTTGGTGAAAGTGTGGACGTAAGAAAGACTAATGTCATTTTTAAATGGATAAAGAGAATTGTGAATGGAAGTTAAAAGGCAATTTGCCTCCAGTAAACAGTATAATAAAATAACTACTGGGACACTGCATGTAATGCTATTACACTTTTTAATAGAGAAGCTGAAAATGGGATGGCATGCTTGAAGATGGTCAGTGGTTTGGAAATAAGAGATACTGCAAGAGGTAGTTTATAGAGTTATTTACTCTGTTTTGTGTAGTTTACTAAAAAGCAGTTTAAGGGTTTTTATAGTTTATAGTTTCATTTGAAAGAGAAAACAATAGGCATTCAGTGGCATTTTAATTAAATGGAAAAAGACTGAGAAGCAATGGGGACAAATCCAAGTCACAGGAATCCAAGGCAGACATTAAGGATGAATTTCTGACAGTAAAGGTTATCTCCTTTTATTGATGTCTTCCTATGAAAATCTGATCAAGTTACTTCTGCATTTCCATACATGACAGTTGTTCTATACCTGTCTCCTTTTCTACCTTTCATCTGGGCTGTTTCCAGTTTGATTTTCTTCTTTGCTAAGTGTAGTACCAGATTAAGAACTCAACAACACCGAGTAGAAAGAAATACACATCTGTCTCGTCTTGCAAACACACTTGTTAGTATATACCAGGATTGTGTTTTACTTTTCTCCAATAGCAGTATTCTCCTCTGCAGTTTAAGCTTTGCATTTCTTTCTTAAGGTATTTTTCCACTCAAATTTCTGCATTTTCCTTTGGTCTTCAGAATAATATTTGATGGACCTGATTTTCTTTTCTGATTAGCAATGGAAGAGACCCATTTTGCTGCACTCAGTTGCTAAATAAGGTAGTTCAGTAAACCTTTTGCTGTGTTTCTTCTTAGACAGTGTGTCAGCAGGAAATGAGAAAGCTACAAGTCTTTTCAGGTCAAAATAAAACCAGCTTCCCACCACAATAGCAGGGCTCCCAATACCTGTGTTGTGGTTTGTGGGGATGTTGTGTGCACCAGGGGAAACTACTGGAGGCCTGCTTCAGCCTATGAGAAAGTGAAATAATGTGAGTGGAAGGCAACCATAGTTTGTTAAGTTCTGGTACTAGATGGAAGATGAGAGGATGTTTAAAAGATTTAACAACTGTTTTTATGGAAAGCTGTCAGACCTGAAGACATAGCAAGTTAAAGAGGGGGGAAGTTTCCAAAAAGCAGGTATTTAACAAGAGTTAAAGGCAAGGAGATCCTTACAAGCAAAGTTATGCAAACTTGTGGAAATTGACAAATGGTATTTATCATATAAACCCTATATCTCATATGTCATAGGCCTGCAGGCCAGCAGTGGGACTGTGTTACATTTCTCTAGGGAACTTCAATCCTCTTTGTGCATACATCTGTTTACTTTGGTAGAGCGTTTCAAGCCCATGTAGCCTGCAAATAGGACCGAAGATCTGGAAGCTAGCTGTCACAGGGACTGTGGGTCTGGGGGTAAATACTGGAGAGACAGGGGATCTACAGGTTGGCTACCACAGGTCTACTGGGTAAACCACAGGTCCAGACCAGTTACTGTTGAGATTGATTGTGTCTGTGTGTATAATGAGAAGAGATCCAAGTACCAGCAGTGCAGTAGGACTGAAACTTTGGGACTTTTAGGCCTGTGTGCCAGCAGCTGAGGAGAACAGGAGATCTGGAATCAGTTATAAATGAACGTAGTGTCCACGGACACCTGGGTGCATGTGTATGTATGTCTGCATACCACTGGCAATCTTCAGATCTTTGTGCCGTATGTATGAGGGATGGAACTGGTAAGGCACTTCTCTCTGTCAATCTGCCTGGCTGGCAGTGAGTGTACTGTGCACGTGCCTTGGGAACACGTGCTCAGCCTTGCTACTGGCTGAACCCTGGGGCATGGAGCTGCAGTGTCCTTGATCTGCTCTGCCACTGGATTCAGCTGTCTTGGACAGACATCTAAATGAGTGATCATTGAAAAGTGAAGTGTTGGTAGCAGTGGAGTTGGTGACAAGATGCAGCTTTATTTCTCATGAAATTTCACTTGTCTTCAAATAAACACCAGTTGTTAACCCTATATTCTTATTTTCTTGTCATCGAAAAGTATTAGCAATTTCACTTAATTACTACAATATTAGATCATCAAATCCATCCAGTGTTGATTTTTCTCTAGTCTGTATGTCTGTCTGGTTGTTGGGCAGCATCTCACTGTCAGTTTTCTCATTCGGGACAGAAAGCAGATGCAAATCAGAGTTTTTTATTCTGTTTTCCAAGAATAACTTTACAGTAATGGTAGACAATATGTCAGCCTCCTCTCAGGACTTTTTACTGTCTTGTAAATACTTCAGCCCATCAGGCTTGTTTCTACAGTTTATCCTCCCACAGGGTATGGACATGTGGCTACATGAGCAACTCAGTTCATTTGGAGCAGAAGTACGGATCAGATGTGGCTTTCACATCTTTAAGATAAAGCAAATTTATTTTCTACCTGTTTCTATATTAATAAATCTATCCTTGCCTAGAGAAGTTTATCCCATGCCTAAAAGATACCTTTAATTGGAAAAGTTGATGTTGCTAACCAACAAAAAGTTCATCAGAAGTTAAAGTCAACATAAAACAAACTTGGGAAAGGACTGAATAAGTAAGGGTTATTAAAATGAAGAGGAATGGACCGAGGGTGATTGAAATAACAATTGTAAGAGGTTGCACCTTCCACTAGTATCCTGTTATATGTTGATGCTGTGTGACAGATGGCAGCAGAGGAACAGTGACAAAATGGCACCTGAAATGGAAGTGCTTATGAAGCAAAGGCGTGTCACTGAATTCCTCCATGCATAAAAAAATGGTGCCCATTGACATTT